TTTGCATTAAACTTTGAGCAGATAAACCAACTTCTTCTAATTTCTACATTATAATAAAAAGCTTACTGATAATGCCAATCAATCAATACTTATGTTATCCAACATACTACAAAGTCATATGTTTTTACCTGGTGCAGTAGCTTTATTTCATCTAAAATTGGTCTTGGATCTTCATACATGTCAACCTCTACTTCAGCCTCTGCTGTTTGTGGTTGCAGAGCAAGAGGAATTGGTGGAGGAGGAGGAGGAAGTGGGATCTGTTCTGGAACAGCATCTGCTTTGTCAAAAGGACTCTCTGCTTCCCAGTCTTTGGAGTGGACCCTTGGGGCATGGCCAGTAGATGCTCCAGATTCCTCTGGACCAATAGATGAACTTCTGGAAGTGGAACTGGTGGATCGAGATCTAGATCGTTGACTACGTGAGGGACTCCTAGAATAGCGGCTGCGTGAATGACTTCTTGAGTCTCGGTCTCTGGACAAACTTCTTGATCTACGACTGTGTGAACGACTTCTAGATCGACGCCTTCGTGACTGGCTACTGGAGTGGTTGGGACTGCTGATGTGGAAACAAATAAAGTGGAATATACAGTATTTCTGTGACTGGTATCAGTTGATGCCAAAGTGGAATGCAGCATAAAAGCTTACTAGCACTGATAGAGGAGATACAGAAAATGGGGAAATTATATTTAATGTGCTGGTGATTTGACAGTGTAGGTTTGACTCCCTTCAAGAGTATGCAATATCTTTTGAATTGAACTCAGGGTGCAGGAGTGTGAGGAGGAGAGGGGCTGGGCAGAGGTATAGTGTAGTAGTACAAGAGTATGAAATGAAAAAGAAAAAGCTACAAAAGAAATGGAAACTGATAACCCCCCTCTCTCTCTTTCCCCCTCTACCTCTCCCTCTATCTCTCTCCCTCTCCCTCTCCCTCTCCCTCTCTCTCTCTCTCAAAAGAATGACTGAAGATAAAAAGCTTAGAAAAAAATATTACCCCTAAACTCCTGAAAAAAGTGACATGAGTAGAGTAGTGTTTCCTATGTATTCTTCCTAATTCTCAGGCCTAGTTATGGGCTAGCCAGGCATTCTATTAAGATCAGAGAATAATCATTAAGTGTGAGAAATTGTCCTTCACAGCAAAATAGAAAAGATTTACCCAAGACAAAAGTGTTACAGTGCCAGAGATGTTGGCTGGGGAGCACAGTCATTAGCAGTTGTGATCTTTAAGGGTTAAATGGACTGCTCTTACAAATCAACAGACCAAAAGATAAAGATAACTGGAAATAATATGAAAGCATTTCAAAAATACCAGCAGTGCCTTTAGCAAAAAAAGAGCACTGGCAGATATAATTTACTACTAAATTGTACTGCCAGTACTTTTTAGCAGTGCTCACAATTCTGCATTATTGTTAGGGACCAGTACTGCTAGCCAGTAGTTTTGGAAAGATTTTACCAAGAAGTTGCAGTTATCATTATATAACTTTTAAGTGTATGAGCATCTTGAAGCCATAAAATATATTAGTGGTACTTTCCAAAACTGGCATGCATTCATCATAGGACTTTACCTATTCCATACAAAACAGCCTTCTACTGCCCAACTTATTTAACTAAAAATAGAAACTATTTAGAGCTTTAACATCAAAAGCCCTGAAAGACTTACTGGCTGTAACTGCCCAAGTCTGCTCTCAGGTCTGGTGGTAACTGCTGTGCTGAAAATTGAAAAGGAAGAAAACAATACAAAGGCAATTAAACTTTTTGATATCTTAACCCATTGCCGCCGGGGATGGCATGTACGCACATGCCATGCCCACTGTGAGTCCGCTTGTTTGATTGTTTTTACACATAGATGGCTACACTTGTACTAAGTATCCAATTACAGCCAATTACAGTACTACCTGTCTCGCCCGTTCACCCTTTTCATCGATTTACGAAAATATTTAACGTTATCCTAATTTGCTGTTAAAAATAACACCATCTATATTTATAGCACTAGTAAGAATACGTTTTTTCCCGCCAATTCAAGGACACGTGAAATCATGACTAGCAGAGCCATCTATGGACAGAGATATTTCACAAAAATATAAAAAATGAGTACTGCATTTCCCCCATTTTTTGTTCATTTTCCCCGACAGCAATGGGTTAATTTATATTGATATTTAATTAAATGAAAAAGGGTGAATCAGGGACAAAGGGATAGAAGAAGAGAGGAAAGGATAAAGGGGGTAGGAAGAGAGAGGGGGAGGGGGAGGGGGAGGGAGAGGGAGGTGCTTGTATTATTCATATATCTGAAGAAGAAGAAAAAACTTACATCACTAATCAAGTCAAAGAGACAACCTGTCTATAACAAGATTAATATAATAAATAAGTGATATTCTCTCTGTTATGATATGTGGATCCCACAATTTTTGGTTAATGAGAACTACGAGGCAACATACATCAACATCTTCATAGTGAAGAGATTGAGAAATTACCTTGCAGTTCTGCAGACTGTTTATGTTCCAGGAAATACATTTCAAGACTTTCCTTGGAGAAGTTGATTATTTGGGCATTTCCAAGACCACTACAGATTAAAACTGCTGTTGCTCACAGAACGTAAACATTTTTTCCTGGCATTGGGATTGCTGACCTATTTGTTGCTGCATCATTTGCTCAATTGCTTTAGCATTTGTAGCAGATCCTTTATTCATCTGTTAAACTCTAGCTTATTCTGCTGCAGTGAAGACTGAGCTGGAGCTGGTGCTGCAGTTTGTGCTGAAGTAGGCTGCTACTATTAATAGTGTTGGTGATGTGTAAGGTGGCATTCTTTGCTGGGGCCATCACTGTTGACCTCTCTAGGTGTGGGAATTACCCCACATCATTCAGGTGAGAAGCTGGGATGGATTTCTTTGGGGGGAGGGCTGCCAATTATTTATGACTGTTTACTTTCCTATCATCTAAAAGCTATGCATATAATGGGGAATTTGCATTATGCATTCGAGGGCAGTTACTAAAGTCAATGATGGGCTGGTGAATTTTTCCTTCGCGCTCTTCAATCTGACGAGCTTCATCCTTAAAATTCAGCAAAAGGTCCTTTGTAAGTCCAAACTTTATTTCCTGAAAAAAGGAATATTATGAAAATAAAACCCAGGAAGTGGTCTTGTTGCAATTATGAAAGATTGAGATCATCAGTATTTTAAGGGCAAGGAACTCTTCTCCATTTGCTCTACCAACTCCAGTCAAATACTATGGCTTGAGATCTTTAAAACCATCTCAAGGATGCCTTCATCCGTGATGAAGTCCAGCTCTGAAATTTAACCCGAAGGTGCCGGCTCCACCAACCCGAGCCGTGTGTCAGACTGTCATACATGACTGCAAGGGGCTGTAGTTCTTTAACCCCTTCCCCAACAATTTTTTTTGTTAAAAATGTTTTTTTTCAGCCTAATTTTTTTTATTTTGGTTCTATATAGTATTTTTGATGCTGGCTATGAAAACAGTTTGTAATAATTTTTTCTTCCCATTTTTGTAGTTAAATTTTTATTTTGAAAATACCTTTGTCGGCAAAAACGAGTCAACTTGTCTTCCTATAAACCATATTTTTTTACCATATTTTCTTAATTTTTCTCAAAATTTTATTACCAAATGTAAAGAGAAATGATTAATTATAATATGCAGTAATTATAATATGCAGTAATTATAATATGCAGTAATTATAATATGCAGTAATTATAATATGCAGTAATTATAATATGCAGTAATTATAATATGCAGTAATTATAATATGCAGTAATTATAATATGCAGTAATTATAATATGCAGTAATTATAATATGCAGTAATTATAATATGCAGTAATTATAATATGCAGTAATTATAATATGCAGTAATTATAATATGCAGTAATTATAATATGCAGTAATTATAATATGCAGTAATTATAATATGCAGTAATTATAATATGCAGTAATTATAATATGCAGTAATTATAATATGCAGTAATTATAATATGCAGTAATTATAATATGCAGTAATTATAATATGCAGTAATTATAATATGCAGTAATTATAATATGCAGTAATTATAATATGCAGTAATTATAATATGCAGTAATTATAATATGCAGTAATTATAATATGCAGTAATTATAATATGCAGTAATTATAATATGCAGTAATTATAATATGCAGTAATTATAATATGCAGTAATTATAATATGCAGTAATTATAATATGCAGTAATTATAATATGCAGTAATTATAATATGCAGTAATTATAATATGCAGTAATTATAATATGCAGTAATTATAATATGCAGTAATTATAATATGCAGTAATTATAATATGCAGTAATTATAATATGCAGTAATTATAATATGCAGTAATTATAATATGCAGTAATTATAATATGCAGTAATTATAATATGCAGTAATTATAATATGCAGTAATTATAATATGCAGTAATTATAATATGCAGTAATTATAATATGCAGTAATTATAATATGCAGTAATTATAATATGCAGTAATTATAATATGCAGTAATTATAATATGCAGTAATTATAATATGCAGTAATTATAATATGCAGTAATTATAATATGCAGTAATTATAATATGCAGTAATTATAATATGCAGTAATTATAATATGCAGTAATTATAATATGCAGTAATTATAATATGCAGTAATTATAATATGCAGTAATTATAATATGCAGTAATTATAATATGCAGTAATTATAATATGCAGTAATTATAATATGCAGTAATTATAATATGCAGTAATTATAATATGCAGTAATTATAATATGCAGTAATTATAATATGCAGTAATTATAATATGCAGTAATTATAATATGCAGTAATTATAATATGCAGTAATTATAATATGCAGTAATTATAATATGCAGTAATTATAATATGCAGTAATTATAATATGCAGTAATTATAATATGCAGTAATTATAATATGCAGTAATTATAATATGCAGTAATTATAATATGCAGTAATTATAATATGCAGTAATTATAATATGCAGTAATTATAATATGCAGTAATTATAATATGCAGTAATTATAATATGCAGTAATTATAATATGCAGTAATTATAATATGCAGTAATTATAATATGCAGTAATTATAATATGCAGTAATTATAATATGCAGTAATTATAATATGCAGTAATTATAATATGCAGTAATTATAATATGCAGTAATTATAATATGCAGTAATTATAATATGCAGTAATTATAATATGCAGTAATTATAATATGCAGTAATTATAATATGCAGTAATTATAATATGCAGTAATTATAATATGCAGTAATTATAATATGCAGTAATTATAATATGCAGTAATTATAATATGCAGTAATTATAATATGCAGTAATTATAATATGCAGTAATTATAATATGCAGTAATTATAATATGCAGTAATTATAATATGCAGTAATTATAATATGCAGTAATTATAATATGCAGTAATTATAATATGCAGTAATTATAATATGCAGTAATTATAATATGCAGTAATTATAATATGCAGTAATTATAATATGCAGTAATTATAATATGCAGTAATTATAATATGCAGTAATTATAATATGCAGTAATTATAATATGCAGTAATTATAATATGCAGTAATTATAATATGCAGTAATTATAATATGCAGTAATTATAATATGCAGTAATTATAATATGCAGTAATTATAATATGCAGTAATTATAATATGCAGTAATTATAATATGCAGTAATTATAATATGCAGTAATTATAATATGCAGTAATTATAATATGCAGTAATTATAATATGCAGTAATTATAATATGCAGTAATTATAATATGCAGTAATTATAATATGCAGTAATTATAATATGCAGTAATTATAATATGCAGTAATTATAATATGCAGTAATTATAATATGCAGTAATTATAATATGCAGTAATTATAATATGCAGTAATTATAATATGCAGTAATTATAATATGCAGTAATTATAATATGCAGTAATTATAATATGCAGTAATTATAATATGCAGTAATTATAATATGCAGTAATTATAATATGCAGTAATTATAATATGCAGTAATTATAATATGCAGTAATTATAATATGCAGTAATTATAATATGCAGTAATTATAATATGCAGTAATTATAATATGCAGTAATTATAATATGCAGTAATTATAATATGCAGTAATTATAATATGCAGTAATTATAATATGCAGTAATTATAATATGCAGTAATTATAATATGCAGTAATTATAATATGCAGTAATTATAATATGCAGTAATTATAATATGCAGTAATTATAATATGCAGTAATTATAATATGCAGTAATTATAATATGCAGTAATTATAATATGCAGTAATTATAATATGCAGTAATTATAATATGCAGTAATTATAATATGCAGTAATTATAATATGCAGTAATTATAATATGCAGTAATTATAATATGCAGTAATTATAATATGCAGTAATTATAATATGCAGTAATTATAATATGCAGTAATTATAATATGCAGTAATTATAATATGCAGTAATTATAATATGCAGTAATTATAATATGCAGTAATTATAATATGCAGTAATTATAATATGCAGTAATTATAATATGCAGTAATTATAATATGCAGTAATTATAATATGCAGTAATTATAATATGCAGTAATTATAATATGCAGTAATTATAATATGCAGTAATTATAATATGCAGTAATTATAATATGCAGTAATTATAATATGCAGTAATTATAATATGCAGTAATTATAATATGCAGTAATTATAATATGCAGTAATTATAATATGCAGTAATTATAATATGCAGTAATTATAATATGCAGTAATTATAATATGCAGTAATTATAATATGCAGTAATTATAATATGCAGTAATTATAATATGCAGTAATTATAATATGCAGTAATTATAATATGCAGTAATTATAATATGCAGTAATTATAATATGCAGTAATTATAATATGCAGTAATTATAATATGCAGTAATTATAATATGCAGTAATTATAATATGCAGTAATTATAATATGCAGTAATTATAATATGCAGTAATTATAATATGCAGTAATTATAATATGCAGTAATTATAATATGCAGTAATTATAATATGCAGTAATTATAATATGCAGTAATTATAATATGCAGTAATTATAATATGCAGTAATTATAATATGCAGTAATTATAATATGCATAATAAATGAAATTCCTTTTTCCGGCATTTTATTATTACTCGAGGCTTCTCAAGCTCTCCCCTCACCCCCCCCCCCCTCCTCCTCCTCCTCCTCTCCTCCTCCTCCTCTCCTCCTCCTCCTCCTCTCCTCCTCCTCCTCTCCTCCTCCTCCTCTCCTCCTCCTCCTCCTCTCCTCCTCCTCCTCTCCTCCTCCTCCTCCTCTCCTCCTCCTCCTCTCCTCCTCCTCCTCTCCTCCTCCTCCTCTCCTCCTCCTCCTCTCCTCCTCCTCCTCTCCTCCTCCTCCTCCTCTCCTCCTCCTCCTCTCCTCCTCCTCCTCCTCCTCCTCCTCCTCTCCTCCTCCTCCTCTCCTCCTCCTCCTCTCCTCCTCCTCCTCTCCTCCTCCTCCTCCTCTCCTCCTCCTCCTCTCCTCCTCCTCCTCCTCCTCTCCTCCTCCTCCTCCTCCTCCTCCTCCTCCTCCTCCTCTCCTCCTCCTCCTCCTCTCCTCCTCCTCCTCCTCCTCCTCCTCCTCTCCTCCTCCTCCTCTCCTCCTCCTCCTCTCCTCCTCCTCCTCCTCTCCTCCTCCTCCTCTCCTCCTCCTCCTCTCCTCCTCCTCCTCTCCTCCTCCTCCTCTCCTCCTCCTCCTCTCCTCCTCCTCCTCTCCTCCTCCTCCTCTCCTCCTCCTCCTCTCCTCCTCCTCCTCTCCTCCTCCTCTCCTCCTCTCCTCCTTCCTCCTCCGCCGCCTCCTCCTTCCTCCTCCTCCTCCTCCTCTCTCCTCCTCCTCCTCCTTCTCCTCCTCCTACTCCTCCTCAACTTGTCGAGAACCCTAGTCATTGTCTGATGAACTGGCAGAGTTATCGAAGTATTCAAGCTTCTGAGGGAAGGTTTATATTCACTATCTTCCGTTGAACTAGACATTTGGGGTGTAACACTTGAAAAATGCTACAAAAAAATGAATGCAAATGTGGATGCAAACAACACCTATCGGACCACAATGGCTGCCGGAGCAAGTCTAGTAACAATGTCCTTGAAATCCCATAGCTCTACCCTATCGCCTCTGTCAGGCGTACGATTTGACGAGAATAATCGTTTCACATGTAGAATGGCTTACAAAGGCTTAAAATCGACGAGTATATACGTATGTAGCTGGTTTTTGAAGGTAAAGTTTTAGACGAGTATACTCGTCGACGACTGAAAAAAGAACATTTTGTGAAAACGTGTATACACGTTTCTGCCGGGGAAGGGGTTAATCCAATGCTGTTGGGGATGATATGTACATACATGCCATGTTCAATTTATTAAGTGTTTATACACTTAGTTGGGTCCACAAGTATTAAGTTGCCAATGAGCCAATTATGAGCACTACCTATTTCACCTATTTACCATTTTCCTTGATTTCCAAAAATATTTTCTGGTAACTTATATTGCTGTTAGTAATGTTAATAACACTAATATTAATTAAAATATCTATTATGAAAATAACAGCATTGATAAAAAACAACAACATAAATTCAAGGGAAGGTGAAATAAGGTGAGGTCACAAGGCCTACAAATTGACTCTTTGTGGCTAAGCACTTGCAGAGCTATCTATGTACAGAGACTTTTCACAATACTACAATGAACACAACAATTCCCAATAATGGGGACAGATATGCCCACAGCCAAACAACTGGTCAACTCTAGACCACACAACTTGGAAGGTCTCACCATGCATGGCAAGTATCCTTGCCAACCAGCATTTGGGTTCGGCTTGTTATGGCAAGAATAGGTGCGCGACATTAATATGGGGTTAAGAATTATCAACTGAGATTCAGAAATGTCTTCCTTGTTATTCATCCCAGATTCCAGAGCATACAAGTAATGAAAAGTGTGACAGCAAGTGCAAGCCTCTGACCCTCACCTGAACCTTACTGCACATCATGTCAACTTACTGCACATCATGTCAGTTTGTGTAAAGCACCAAGAGAAAACTTCAGCTTCCTTGAGCAGACTCCAAATTATCTCAACAGGAAGTCTACAATTATATGCAAAAACAACAATAAGCAACAATGTGTTGTTTGAGTTATTTCTTTTCCTTTTTGCTGGTCAAGATGGGCAGGAATAGGTTCCTGCACATGGAAATATTGCCCACACTGCAGCCAGTACTCTTTCAGCCATGGACTACAGATGGTACATTCCACCCTTGGTTAATAATGGAAATAAAGCAAGAGCCCCTTCTGAGTCTGAGAGCATTGTGGACTCACAGTGAGATGTCCCCATCACCTGCCACTCAGCAACAATATCTCATGATGACATGTTCTCTCACTCCAGCCCTCAGCCAAAGTATTCCATGGTGACACATTCCCATCACCTGGCACTCACCCAGATGCAATGGGTTAATAACAAAAACAGTAACACTAATAATGATAATGGTATAAGAAATGAAAACTACAATGGACAGTTCAAGTGAATAGCATCAAAGATTTAAACAGAATTCAAGAGTAAATATGCAAGGATAAAGAGAACTTTTGACATGAATATGTTTACCTCATTTTTGATGAAGGAAGAAAGAAAAGAAAACAAAACAGAAGCTTTTTACTTTGTCCAAATTTCAATGAAAACTCTTTACTTGACTCTCTACAAAGTGAGGAACAAACCATGTATTTCCTATTGTGGGATAAGGAAGTCAAGTGTGCAAACATTCTGGAAGTCTTAATTCTTGTCACATCACTTGATTTCTGACAGAGCTGGCAGGTAAATGTCTCTTTGCCATGTATCACTTCCTTGTATACAAACTGTATACCTGTGGAGAAAGAAAGTATGATTAATGGAATTATATGAATACAATGT